AATATAATTAAATAATATCACTTATTTATCCTCACACATTACATTACATCAACTTTCATTCACTATTCACACACTCACATAATTTTATCAATCATCACTTCACACCATATTTTAATTATTTTATTTTAAATATTATTTTAAAAAAACTCAAAATCTCACTAGCAACTAACCATACTACATTTTTTAAAATTGACTAAATTAAACAAAAAAATTCAAACAAAATAAAAAACTTATATCAAAGCATCCGCTTAAAGTAAATGAGAATTTGAGACGAGCAAAGGCTATAAAATGCAAGTTTGCCTATATTTTACATGAGAAGTTGGAGCGCGTTAAACATGTAAGTTCGGTCAGTTCGGTCAACCAAACCGACTGAACCACTAAAACACAACTAATCGACTTGAAATTTTTCAAAAACCGAACATACTAAAATGTAGAGTTACAACCGATTTATAACTGAACCAAAATTTCTGGTCGGTTAATTGAACTGTTACATCAAATCCAAATTTACAACAACAATTCAGATATTAAAGAGTGCACTAAACATTGACGCACCAAATAACGACATCCCTGATGGACTTCTTTATATTCCGTGTAATAATTTAAAGTTTGTTGAATTTTAGCAGTGTAAAAAGTTTGTTGCAACACCCCAATAATTTTATGGACTTCTTTATATTCTGTGTAACAATTTGAAGCCGGAGATATTTTGAAATGTAAATCAACATAGGGAAGTAATATAAATCCACTGATGCAGCTCAAAAAATTTGAAGGCAAATATATTTCTGGTTTAGAACCGATTAAGGGTTGAGAACTCGAGATACGAAGTGAGAATTGGAGGAGACGAAAACTACGTTCCAATTTTTTTAAGTTTTTAATATTATACAATGTGTATTATAATATTATTATATATTGGTCGGTTTGGTTATTTTAATATTTAGTGTCTGAAAACCAATATTAACATGCGACCAAAACCAGAGACCAACCGAATCGTATAAAAAAATTCGAACCGAAACTCTTATTTCGATCGATTATTTCAGTTTTAGTCAAACTATGCACACCCTAACACCGGAAACTCCCGTGGGGAGTAGGGTTGGTTTTTCTTCATATCTTGCAATTATTGTTCCCCGCAGCCCACAAGAGCAAACAGGAAACAAGTAAAAAAATTCTGCACAGCCACCGCCTTTCTCATCCATCTCGCCTGCACGCATCCCATCTGAGGTAATATTAGGGTTTCCTAATTCTCCTTAATTCACCTTCCCTTTCAATCTTTTACAAAATAAATCCTTGTAATTTGGGGGTGGCCGAGCAAGGTGGGCGCTTGCGCTGTTTATACGCAGTGTGTGGATATACGGAGAGATAATTTGTGATAATTAATTTGACTTGATTTGATGGGTAGATGAAGCTTCCCGTGTAGAGTTCTCATAAGCTTGGTGCTACCTTATTGATTCTGATTTTACTTTATCTCTGTTTAATTCTCAATTTTTTCTTTGTTTAATTATGTGATCAGATGAGCATCAATTGAAGAGAATCAATGTCTTGTCTTTGTGTGTTTGCCTGATTCATTTCGTGTTCATTATCATCCATATTGTTCCCTCTGTTTATTACTTGCTGATACTGAGAATAGACATCAAATTGTTGGAAAATGGAAAAGTTGGGTGTTTTAATTATATTTCCCTAGAAACTAAACTTGCATTAGGGCTGTCGTGGACTTGTGGTTTGCTTATTTTCGCTTTTGCATTTTTCTGATTTTCCGCGAGGAAAATTTTCAGTTTTTGTACTATTAATCCACGATTTTTTTTTTTATTTTTATTTTTTACTTCTCTAATTTTGAATCCTCATATGGGCCGCAACCAATCAATTACGCTTCTTTTAAGCCAAACGACAAAAATTCTTGATGCGTAGATGTACTTGTACACACCACACATCGCCATTTCAGTTGAAAGGAAAAAATTGTTTGTTCGTTTGTGCTTGTTTTTTTGTCTTCCTTACCTGCCTTTTCTTACCTTTTGGTGTCATGGATGTGTGATATAGATGAGTTACAAGAGATGTTTATTATCTGCTAGATTAGTTGATCAGATATTAAGCAGCTTTTCCTCCCCACATTTGCATTTTGGTTATGTGTGCCACTATTAAAATTGTTGCCTTTATTTGTTTCTTCCTCGTCAACCATATTTCTTAAATTTCTCAGACATGGACGAGGACAACGGCATGTTCAGGGTCCCACACACAATTGGCAGTGTCCTCTGCTGCAAATGTGGCATTCCCATGTAGCCCAACGCAGCAAACATGTGTGCCAAATGCCTACGTTCTGAGTTTGACATCACGGAGGGGCTTCAGAAGCACGTTATCATCAACCACTGCCCGGACTGCGAAAGCTATCTCCAGCCTCCCCGGACGTGGATCAAAGCCGAGCTCGAGTCTAGAGACCTCCTCACTTTCTGCCTCAACCGGCTCAAGAATCTCCGCAACACCGTCAAATTGGTTAACTCCGAGTTTGTCTGGACCGAGCCCCATTCCAAGAGGATTAAGGTCAAGCTGACTGTGCAGAAGGAGGTCCTGAATGTTTTCCTTCAGCAGGCCTACATAGTCGAGTATGTTGTGCAGGACCAGCTGTGCGAGTCTTGCTCAAAGGTTCAGGCCAACCCTGACCAGTGGGTGGCTGCAGTCCAGCTCCGGCAGCATGTCTCCCACAGGCGGACCTTTTCTATCTCGAGCAGCTTATACTGAAACACGATGCGGCAAGGAACGCCATCAAGATCAAGCAGATGGACCATGAGATTGACTTTTTCTTTAACAAAAGGAGCCACGGGTTGAAGTTTGTTGAGTTTGTGGGCAAAGTTGCCCCTGTCAGGAGCCGCAGTGACAAGCAACTAGTTTCGCATGACTCTAAGAGCAATAATTATAATTACAAGTTCACCTTCTCGGTCGAGATCAGCCCCATTTGCCGGGAGGACCTGATTTGCCTCCCACCAAAGGTTGCGGCTGGGTTGGGAAATTTCGGACCACTCGTGATATGCATCAAGGTGAGCAACAGCATAGCTTTGCTGGACCCTTTTACCCTCAGGCAGAGCTTCTTGGATGCCGAGCAGTACTGGAGATCTTCGTTCAAGGCTTTGCTCTCGAGCAGGCAGCTCGTTGAATACATAGTGTTGGATGTGGAGCCTGTATCTGGTGAGGTCAATATTGGTGGCTTGAAGTACGTTTTGGCCGATGCCCAGGTGGCCCGAGTGTCGGATTTTGGTAAAAACGATACGATTTTCAACGTGAGGACTCATTTGGGGCATCTCTTGAATCTGGGCGATTATGCTCTCGGTTACGACTTGTATGGAGCGAATAATAATGATATTGAGTTGGATAAGTATAAGGGTCTTGTTCTTCCCGATGTTGTGCTGATAAAAAAGAGCTATGAGGAAAAACGACAGAGGAAGAAGGGCAAGCCTCGTTCTTGGAAGCTTAAATCTCTGAATATGGAAGTCGATAATAGTGCCAGGGGTGTTCGGGATAATGCCGAGAAGATGGATACGGAGTATGAACAGTTTTTGAGGGATTTGGAGGAGAATCCTGATTTGAGGTTTAACCTGTCACTGTACCGGAATAAGGAATATCAGCCGTCGGAAATGGCATCAATGACGGATGGTGAGGATTTGCCGAGTGTGCCGTTAGACGAGCTGCTTGCAGACCTCGACTTCAGTGATGAGAATGTTGATGATCATGATGATGGTATGAGAGAATAAGTCTTGGTTTTGTATTGCTTGCTTTTACATGGTTCTTGTTTATGTTTGTTGTTTTGGAATATACTGCTTTTGTGATTCTTTTTCAATGTGTTATGGGTTTCAGTTTCAAGTTTTGTTGTTTCACGTTCAGTTACAAGTAATTGACGGTTATGGGTTTTCTCGAAGTACACTTTCGGATTGGGCATATGCTCAGAGGAAATCTACTTGTGTAAAAGATAAATATTCCAATTTTTTTACTCGATAATTATATTAACCGAAATGATAAGTAGGATATGGTTTTATACCATGAGTTTTGCGAACATATCTTATATCTGGAGTTCTGGATCGTTGATTTCTGTAGCATGTTCTTTAGTAATATGTTCTACTCGTGAGGTCAAATTATCTTATTATGAAAAATAATTTTTATTGAGCCATGGATTTAATACCTTTTTTCTTTGATTTCATATATTTGGACAAAAAATTGATCAAAAATTGCTTAATTATTTATGGGTCTAATCATCGTTTCGCTTCGTTTCGATTGCATCTGGCCACTAAGAGTCTCGCTTTGCTTTCCTTGTCCTTCACTCTCATCTCGCTTCGTATACTCCACTCGCTTCATAAAATCAAAAAGTTTCAAACCGGGTCCAGCTCAGCAAGTCTCGATTACATTGACCCTCCAGTTGTAATGGTAGAGCGAGGAAATAGGAATGCAGGCCTATTGCCATTTCACTATCGCTTAAGGCCTTTGCCTATTCTCTTAGCTCCGTCTATTAGAGAGAATAAACTCGCATGTCCGATGTAAGACTTTGATTACACAAAGATTCTAGAAAGACACCAGGAGAACATCTATTAATTCAGAACCTGCATTGGTGTCGAATATGCAATGAGTAATTCATTTAGGGTTGGATGCGAAAATGTAATTCTGGATTCTTAATAGGAACTTTAGTGGATGCAAAAATTCATTTCAAGAGGTAATTGACGATTCTTAATTAATGATGGATTTTAAACTTGTTAATCATTTTTCTTATTCCTATTAAAACCGAATTTTACAATACCACTTCAAAAAAAAAAAAAAGTCTATCCAAGGAGATGTCTTCTAATACGTCTCAAGAGATAGAAGACATGAAGACAATTCCTTATGCTTCGGCATAGGAACTCTCATGTATGCTATGATGTGTACGAGGCCGGATATTAACTATGCTGTTGGCATGGTAGCTAGATAGCAAATTAATCCAGGACGGAAACATTGGTCTGCGGTGAAACATATACTCATGTACCTGAGAAGGACTAAGGAGTACATCTGATTTCCAGTCAGACAGGGATGAGAGTAAGTCAACCTCTGGTTATGTGTTTACCTTGAGAAGTGGAGCCATTTCATGGAGGAGTGCTAAGCAGAAATGCGTGGCAGACTCCACCATGGAAGCTGAGTACATAGCAGCCTCAGAGGTAACGAAAGAGGCACTTTGGCTCAAAAACTTCTTAGTGGACTTAGAGGTGATTCTGAGTTTTCCACGTTGTATCACCGTGTACTGTGATAACAATGGAGCAGTAGCGAACTCAAGAGAACCACGAGCGCACAGAGCAAGTAAACACATGGAGTGCAAGTACCAACTGATTCGAGATATAGTTGGTAGAGGAGACGTTGATGTTGCCAAGATTGCATCAGAGTACAACCCAGCTGATCCTTTCACGAAGAGTTTGCCCGGGAAGGTCTTCGTCAAACACGTGAAATGAATGAGATTCAGGTATATGGCGATAGAATTGACATAGGTCTTTTAGAATAACAGATTGATAGAACTATACTTGTAAAAGCAAAAGCTTTAAGTGTAAGTGGGAGATTGTTAGTGTTATATACTGAACACTTGACTTTGGATGATATTACACTTTTACTCTTTATGAATGAGAATCATGTTAGATTAAACAAGTTCTATGTTCTGTTGTTTTGAACTTAGATAGAATGGGTCATCATCGGGCGAACCGAAGATCATTGTATCAGTCACTTGCGAAACAAAAATTGTGGTTCACAACCTAGATGGAAATGAACACCCCATCTGAACGGTTGTAGTATCAACGGTGCAATTTGTCTTGACTGGATTAGTTGCACTAGTATAATTAAGTATTGAACAGGATCCCAGAGAGGATAAGTTCGTTTTATAGTGATCGTCGTAAACGAACTAGGCCTCGGTTAGTTACTGCGATCTCTTAACCCGTAAGATATTAAACAGACATATATGTGCAATATATATTATTTTGATTCACTTGGGTGAGGTTCAGTTCACTGGACTAGTTCTTAGGTAATATTACTGTATGTATAATGTGCTGTTAGGACATTTATGGTCACCATATACGTTTAGTTTGATGATGTCCCCGAAGTGAGTTCATGAAGGATTATGCTAAACCCTGCAGGTGGATTAATTTCCGGCATAGTAATAATGTGATGAACGAGCGCTGGCTTCAGTGAAACAATAATATACTAATTAATTCTTGATTACTAATAATCGAATTAATTAATGGACATTATATCTTAAACATGGGGAGGAAATTCGAGTATTTATTACTACTCCACTAGGACCGATGGGCAGCAGCGAAGCTGACTGACCGAAGCGAAGCGAAGTTCAGTGGAGTCTCAATTGTAATTTGGGCTAGGAAAAGAGAGTGCAATAATATTATGTAGTGCATTATTTAAGTAATTGGATGAATGAGCCAGACCCACATTTAGTCCATTACTTAAGAAACTATATTCTTAATCTCCTATGGGTCTCTACTGTAACTATATATATATATTCATCATTAGGCTCATGGAAAAGAGAAGAAGAGATCAGAATTCTCCTACGTGAAAAAGAAAACAAACAAACATGCCCGACGTCTCTCTATCTCTCTTCTCTCTTAAGTTTCTATTCGAGCTTTATCTTATTCTTGTTGCTCCACCGATACAAGTTGAAGAGGTGTAAGAGTAATACTGTAGAAGATCCAAAAGGTAACTGAGACATTGTGAACAATCCTCGAGCCGACAAATCTCAACCCGAAGGCCGAGACCGTCAACCCGACCTACCGAACGACCGCCGTACCGATCTTCGCGACAAGCCGGACCTCTGCCGTGACCAACCGGCGACGATCGCGACCAACCAACGGCAGCCTACGATTCCGGCGACTCCCCGCGACACGACCAACCCGACGTGACGAGACCTGATCGTGTTCCCGACCTGTTCACGCGTTCTTCCTGGTCAACCCGAATCCGTCAGATTCAGATAAGTTTAAGTTGTAAGTTTCCTATGTCAAACCTTAAGATCCTTTGCGTATAGGTTTACGTTTGCTATTGAGTTCGTGACCTCTACTTAATGAGATCCTCATAAATTCCAACAGTGAAATCCTAAAATATGC